ATTTTTATATATACATATTTTATCTATCACTTACATGTTTTCATAGAATAGTGATGTTTTTGCATTTGCTCAACCTGCTACCTTGACTTACAGGTCTGAGACCATATCCTCATTATGCAGCCAAGGTCCAAAAATACTAAATCTTTTTGACTTTCCAAAGCAGATAGAAAATGCAAAGCACTAATTTAGATTTTGTTAAAGACCCTAAATTAGATTTGAGTAATGCTGCACTCGGATTGGTTATTGCAAATTAAACAGAACTATTTCATTTGAGTTTATGGTCACGTAGGTTAATTAAAGATTCCTCTTTGGAAATACAGCCCCCAAGACTCTATGTAATTTAAATAGGTTCTACATTCACGCAGAGTGAGAATGGTAGTTTCAATATTTAATTCTTGCTTAGTAAATTTTGAAGACTAAAAACACATCTTCCCCAAGTTGTGACTACTCTTTATGTTGAAAACAACTCACTAAAGGAAACAGAGTTGCTAGGTAACTTGGTGCCTGTGGAAAGCTCCTGATAAAATGTATTTAAATCAGATTTCCTGGAGCAGATGGGTAAACTGAAGTGGAAAATAAATTCAAATGATCTGATATTGGCTTTTCACGGTAAAGCTAAAATCTCCTTGCAGTCAAATCTCACACAGATCTTCTTAACTGGGGTAGGTTTAAGGTGGCCTTGCTGCAGAGAGCATCACATCTCATTCCCCACAACATGAAGCCATCTGAGCACAGTGAGCTGAATTACTTTCCAGCAAGTGGGGAAGATCCCCAAAGAACGAACACCACACGGAGAAGGAAGTGTCCGTGAATGTGCCTGCTTTCCTTGCCTCTTCACTGGGTATAATCCTTTCCTATAAGTTAATAGACTGCTTGGGGTGGTCTTGTCTTCAGTTCTTCCAGATCTTAATAAAAAAAAAATCAAATGATCAAAGTGGGGTTGAGCCGCTGAGAAGTGCATTAGCTAAGCTAGAATCCCCTAGTCTTCAATGGTTCAGGCTAGGAGCTCTTAGAAAACAGAAAAAACAGTGGATGTATACAGGGAATGTACATAATGTAATGTAGCTATGAGCATCACCCAATAACTGAATTGCTACTCTTTGAGTTTACATAGGTTGAGAATGAATAGAAGCTGCCAGTTATTTCTCAATATCTTTTGTATGTGATCAGAGATATTGGGGGCAATTGGTGGGAATGGTGGGCGTTATACATAGTCCTGTATGAGGAATTCTTCAGGTATCTTTTTCTGAAGGAGAAACTTTAGTCACCTGAAAACCCACAAAAGTTACTTCTTTACTCAATTCTCTATGACCTGTTAGGGGTGGGGAATCACACAGTATGATTCAAAAGGAATATGGCAGTCAACTTATTAGTTCTGGAACCAAGTAACAGAGGATGTCCAAATTCTTTTAAATGATACCCCAAAAAACTGTCATAACTCTCTGATGACATGCATGAAAAACACCAATGAAATAAGAAAAGGAAAGTGGTTCTCAAGCCCCGGTGTGTGTGTCTCTTGCTACTTCACCATGAGCATTTTGACCATGAGAATGAGAAAAGAACATTCTGGGAGGAAGACATCAAAAGGAAGCAGGGGTCAACATGGATGGCATGTTAGGGAGCTGCAGTCACAGGACATGGCTCGCACTGGGCAGCTACTGTCTGGCAGGCACTGTACTAGGTTCTCCACCTGTTTGACTTCACTTAATTATCACAACAAACCTGCCAAGAAAGTTTTTTTTTTCCATTTTATGGGTGACAAAACTGAGGACCCAATGGGCCTACTAACTTAAAAGAAGTCACAAGGCTAATGAATGTCAGAGCCGGGATTCAGAAGCAGGTCTGTCTGATTTCAAAGCCTACGCTACTTCCTCAGGAGACTCAGTGCCTTGGTAGAGAGCGGAATAATAGGCACTCTTATATGCTGCCAATGGGAGTGTAAATTGGTTCGAATTTGAGCAATATCTGTCAAAATGTTAAGTATTAAGTGTACACACCATCAGATTCAGCAAAATCATCTGGAAATTTATCTTACGTATATGCTTTCACAAGTACACAATGATATATGTACAAGGGTATCTATGACAGTGTGGTTTGTTGTCATCTCTCACTGTGTGACAGAGATGCAAAGATTGCTCAGAGCCCAAATATTAAGAGCAATGAGAAGCCCAAAGGGACCATACTGAGAAAATTCCCTCAAGAAGGGAGAAACGAGGTGCAGCCCCAAGTCAGTATTTGCTTCAGCTTTTATTGTAAAGACAAGGAAACACAAGAGAAAAAGGAACTTAATCAATCATTTATCAAAGGAATGAAAAGAAATTGGCTATGGGGCATTCTCTGGAAAACATCTTGAGAAACAAAGAAAACGGAGTGAAGCTAGATAAGAAATGACCTTAATGTTCTTATCTAATCTAGCAGAAACTATTTGCTGTTTCTGGCATGTGCTGTTTTCAGCACTTAGGTTTGACATAAGTGCATTTAGGACTTTTTCCCTTGGTGCACTTCCTGTTCTTTTTCAAGCCTATGTGCTCCCACAGTTTTGTAATAGAGAAAAACTGGAAACTTCTTAAGTATCCCACTCATAAGGGATTGGTTAGATAATTTCTCATAAAACCACACAATAGACTACTTATGCACTCAAAAAGAATGAGGGAAATCTGTATGAACACATGAAAAGATATTCTCAATATTGTTCAACAAAAAAGTAAGCTGCATAGAGCACATATTGTGAGTTGTGTGGAAGGGGTACAAGCCTCTTCAAAAACAGAGGAGTGTCTATAAGCCCACACAATTTACTGTTGTCATTGGTGAACCTAGGGAGTAGGATGGGGGTAGTTCTTGGTAGAGAGGGCAGGGAAACTTTTACTTTTCACTTTGTACCATTCTAAACTATCTGATTTTTTTCCTAATAAGCAAGTATTACTTTTATGATGAAAGAAAAAAAATTTAAAGAAGGCCCTTTGAACTTAGAAAATAACGGAAGGTTTTTATAACACAAAAATGAAGTGGGTCAGGATCTGTTATAGAATAAAGGGAAGTCAGATGATGATTAAGGAGCTAATGATTGCCAAAGGTCATTTATGTCTTCATGCTAATTGCCAAGGCAGATTCACAAAGAACCTTAGCATTGGAGAAAGTGCACCTTGAAGGCACAAGACCAAAAAAGAAACTCTTCATGATATTTTGGATAACTTGTCAAACCAACGCCCAAATGCTTTGATATTCTCTCAACCCTATTTAGTGTCTGGAATCTTCAACACAATTGTTCTGTTCGTACAAAGCATGAGCAAAAGGAAGCCTGGTAAGCAGCTCAGGTAGAAAGAAAGAAAAGTATTTTTTCCACAAAAATCTTGGCTGCAGCAAACCTTTCCATTCCCAGGATGCATGGAGGTCATCAGTGACAGCTGTAGCCCTTTCTGCATGGAAATCTTCTCTCTCTGATGTGCAGGCAGATTGCATTTGCCTGGCTAATCCGGCCATACACGGGAGAAATGAGAAAAGGCCCAAGCTACCCATATGCACTATAGATTCCAAAAGGAGATGAGCCTACCAACAGTATTTTTTTTTTTTGTCACTGCTTTTCCTGATAATGTCAACATGGACATTATTGTTTGATTAGTTTTCTTCACTCTAAGGCTAGAAATAATTTCTTCTGCGTGATTACCTCTGAGATGTTGGACATCTCAGAGAATTTTTTTCAGAAGACATGACTGAACACATTTTGCAGCACTTTCCTTAAAGTCACTTACTTAATGGTATAAGAAAATATAGTTCATCTGTTTTCTCCTAACTACCCAGTGTTCCTATTCTTATTATTTTGTTCTAGTTAGTTTTCCTTTAGCTTTTAAAAGCCATTGTTTGTACTTTCCGTAATATAATATTATATTATTAAATAATAATAATAATAGCTAACTTTTATTAGGGCTTGTTACATGCCAGGCACTATTTTAAGTGTTTTATATAAAATTAATTAATTTGTTCTCATTATAAATCTATACATAGGTACTGCCATCACCCCCATCATTTGACAGATGAGGAAACTGAAGAGTGAGGAAATTACAAAACTTGCCCAAGCAGTAGATCCAGGACTCAAAGCAGACCTGTCTCACTCCAAAGCATGTTTGTGTAATCACGTACTACATGCGTCACAAAAAAGATGCCATTCTATCTTGTCGGAAGCAGCAGGACAGAAAATCTTCGTAAACCAGGAGAAGTATTCCTGCCCTCTCAGTAGCGTGGGTGATTTTGCTCCTGTCCTTGATCTGGCTCTTCCAGAGGGCATTCTCAATTCAGTTTTCTTGACACTGAGGGACTCTACTCAGAATCCTCAGCTTCCCCATCAGCCATGCCTCCAGGCACCAGCTTCCTTCCTGCCAACTCTAGCCCAATTGATCTCTTCCCCTTGCTAACAAGTTTGCCTTTGTTGGCAGCACCATACAATTACCACATATTTTAAAATATCCTGTTATCTGACTATCTGAAATACGTACTTTAACACTTTCTTACTATCATGCCTGCCAACCCAGGCTTTGAAGGTATATCAGACACCTCTTAGGCTTCAACTCATATCCTGTCAGTCCACATTTTATTGAACTTTTGCTGCAGCAACCAGCTGTGCCCAGGTACAACCAGAAGGATCTTGTCTCCATTGGACCATGAATCTAGTACAGTCTCTAGCTGAGCTTCTCTGCTAACCTGAATAAATGTCCACAAGAATCTGCTTAGCACTCACACATACACAAACCTAGACATTCGAGGTAATTAACACCCTTTGGGGCACCCCTCGACTAGGAAGGATAGAAACTGGTGGGTGGAGCTGCTCTCTTCTATCCCTTGGCAGAAAACTGAGACACATTCTAAACGGCCCACAATGATGACCAGATTGATAATATCCATTTTTATAGGCTTTCTGTATAAGAAAATTTGGGGATGAGACATATGGATAGACCTAGGAGGGCAGGCATGAAGGGTAAGGATTTTTGTCTCATATGAGCACTCACCATAGTGAATCAATAGAGTATCAACAACCAGGTAGACAGGATGACTTGTCTTCTGGATGTCAATGAGCCTCTCTCCGTTGCCATTCCAGTACTTGTGCAATGGACTCATGAAGGGCATGGCCATGGTGACAGGGGTAGTGAGTAGGTGTGGACACAACAATATCAACTCCCTCTCAAAGGAAGGCCCTGTGGGGGGAAAAAAAAACAGAGCAAAGAGACAGAGAATAGCAGGGTTGGGTGACTATTTTAAAAGCACGATCAAATAAACTTTCTCTGATAATATGACAGTTGAGCAGAAACCTAAATGAAATAAAGGAGCAAGCCATATGGGCACACAGGACAAGAACGTTCCAGAGCAGAAAGTAGCAAGTCCCAAGGTTCTGAAGCAGCAGCATGCTTGGTGTGTTTGAGGAGGCTAGGGTGGCTAGTGTGGCTGGAGGGGAGTGAGCAAAGGAGAGGGTGGTAAGAGAGGTGATTGGGAAGCGAGCTGGGCCCAAACCATGGAGGGCTTTGGAGGCAGAGTGAGGACTTCGGATCTCATTAATGAGATATGAGAGAGGAAGCCATCAACGGATATTGGAAATATGATATAGTGTATTTCACATTATATAGAGCTCTCTGCTGCTCTGTGAATTGGCTGTAAGGGGTCAAGGATGGATGTGGGGAGATCAGTTAAGACACTACTGCGGTAGAGTGTTTGGATCTCATTTAGAATGTTTTCTGGCTGTGGAGAGCAAAGACGTGAGGTTAATGGACATCAGCTCTTGGACTAAAGGTGTTGCTACTGTTCGGCACAGCTGACTTGAAGCTACTCGTGAGCAAAAACAAAAACAACTCTTCTACTTCTTACAAATCTTTCATAATGCATAACACAGCCCAGTGGGTCTAGTGGGAAGTGCTCAGAAAATGCCTGTGATTTTCTGATTTAAACACCGATTTAGTCTTTGCTAAGAATACATAGAAATAATGTCTCTCAATTGAAAAATAAAGCGACATGTGGTTTCCAAGACCAGGCCTATCATTTTAACATAGGTGCCCTGACAACATGCCACAAAGTGTGCTCCTTGCCACACAAAAATCTTCTCTTAATTTTCTTCACGACCTGGCAGGTGGGGTTATTCTGCACAAGTTTACAGATGAAAATACAGAGAAGGGGTGTGTGTGGGGGGGGGGTGTTGAGTAAATTGTCCATGGTCATTAGAGGGTAAGGGGCAGAGCTCTGGATGCAAACCAAGAGCTGATTCCAGAGCCCACACTCAACAACTCTGAACTACTCAGCTACTTATCATAACAAACCTTGGGAAACACTCACATTCTTTGGTAGCCTAATCCTATTTTTATGATCTTTCAGATTCTCCCAACTATGAAAAATAAATAACATTAACAGGAAGAGCTGATTTTTTTAAAGCCTCTTTTGCCTGGAGGAAAATAATTAAGGCAGTGATTCTATTTGTTTATTAAGATGCACTAAGTTAGAATGATCCTTTTGCACCTGGAAAATCATTTGGTCCTATGACAAGAGTGGGTAGGCATTTCATTCTGAGCTCCTTTGATGATGTCTGCTGCAGTCTTCCTGCTGTGTGACTATTTTTTCCAGAAAGCCATAGTCCTGCCTTATTCCTGCTTTAAAAAATCATTAGTATAGTTGCATCACAGAAGAAGGAAAAAAACAGATGTGTGATCTGCCCATGAAATGGAGTAGTTTGCCCCACACAAGCTCATCTCTTTTCATGTGCTGGCTGTGAGCCTGTCCTCATGCTGGGGTGGAGAAGCTCATTACTGCTCACAGTAACCAAGAAACAGGGCCAGGCGAAGGGGAGACGGAGACCAAAGGCCCAGAGTGCTCCCACCAAATTGGATCCTAGAAAGTCTGACACCGAGGCATCTACTAGAGTCACTCAGCAGCCCACTTGCTTGGGCTTTGTACAATGAACTGCAGGGATAAAGGAGGTCATTCTGATGAACTGGAACATCACCCTGTATGTGCCAATGGATAGAAGAGTCATGGGGTTGGTGGCCATGTGGCATAATGGGTGCAAAAGTAGCAGATACTCATTTATCCAGCCTCTTAATACCCAGTTTTGACATCTTGCTAAAACTGCAGCCTTCCTAGAAGCACAATGAAGTGTCTGAAACTCAGAAAATCTATCAAGCCTTGGACGTCGCACCTCCCCTTCACTCCTTTCCACTTCTACCCTCTTGGCCGCCCTCACTGTTTGCTTTGATGAACTTCTGCCACTGGAGTTGGTGTGCCCCGTCTAAATGGCATTTCAGCATGGATTTCCCCAGGTGCCCAGCATCCTTGCCTAGATTAATGTGTCAGTGGCATATGGTACAAATGGCCTGTCGTTCAGTCTCAGACTCAGTTTAAAATATCTGCCAGGCTGCTGACTTCTTTGGCATAATGCCTATGACCCCAGTGTTTGAAGGAGAGCAACATTGTATGAAAATTATTTAGACTGAATTTTCTTGTGTAAGAGCCAAAATCTGGCTCCCTGCCTTTCCCTCTCTCTCTCTCTCTCCCTCCCTCCGCTCCCCAACCGTCTCACCCCCACTCCTCCCCCGGTATCTGAGCTAAAGAAATAAGCATACGTTCTGAGGTTCAGTGCCTGGGATCAAGGATAATTTTAAGAACAGCTTTCATTGTATTAGCTCCTTTACTGGCCCCACATCTCACTCTTTTTCCGTAAAGGGAATTACCTAGCTTGTGCTTTTTCAAACACTGTTGCATTTGATCCTCTTAAAAGCCCCTGCATAGGTATTAGTTCCATTTTGCAGACAAGAAAACTGAGGCTTATAGAGTTTTAAATCTGGCCAAAGCATACTACAAAGAAGTGGCAGAACTCAATTCAAACCCAGGTCTATCTGACTCCACAGTCCAAATTCTTTTCACTCTAATTCCATGCATTTGTCTGAACCGATACTGTACCCACATCCAGTGTCTGTACGGAGAAGGAAGGTATTTTTGCTGCAGTTTAATGGGCAGAGCTCACAGTGGTCTGCGTCTCTGTAGGCACTGTCAGCGAGTGCTCCTGGACTCTTCTTGTACAAACTCCTCATCAAACTGCTCTTCTCTCAGTGTGTTTAATGGAGGGTCATTGTTACTGTTTAGTTGCCTGATGGGTTTCTTGCTCCTAAATCCAAGTGATGAAGCAGATCCTGCTGTCCCTGGGATTATCCCCTCTTGATGAGTGACGACCTCCGGATTGGAGGCAGCCAACCTGCAGGCAGAGAGAGGGGGATGTCAAAGGTTCCTCCAGCTCAATTTGTATTGATGAACCAGAATAATTCTGGCAGCAGGGCTCACGGAATTGGCCTCAACCAGCAATCTTTTTCCAGAATAGCTCTTAGTCAATTTTTGTGTTTGAGGTGGCGTGTTTTTGCCAATGTCATATACCCTCTCTTTTCCACTATAGGTATTTGAAAAGCACCCTCTCTCTTACCAATTGCCTGGATTAGTTGTCTCCACAACACTGAACAGTTATCATTGAGAGGACTGCATTCATCGGCTACTCACTCCCACCTTTATGCTCTACTTTGCAAGAATCTTTAACTTATGCCTCCCAGTTCTTTATTCTGTCATCAAAATGCTATATCTAGGGGCCGGCCCGGTGGCGCACTGGATAAGTGCGCTGCTTGGGAAGCGCGGCGGCGCTCCCGCCCGAGGGTTCGGATCCCACATACAGACCGGTTCCCGCTCACTGGCTGAGCGAGGCGTGGGAGCAACACCGAGGGTTGCAATCCCGTTGCTGGTCCCCAGTCCAGTACGGGGGCAACACTGAGGGTTGCAATCCGTTGCCGGACACGGAAAAAGACAAAAGACAAAAAAAAAAAAAATGCTATATCTATTCAAGCTTTGTTCAATTCATTTCTTTCAAGAAATCTCTTCCAAATCAGTCTACTCCATTAATGGCTTCTTTATTCCAAGTTCCTTACAATGATAATAATAACAGCATTTCTCCAAATTATATAATTACTTATTTGATTAAGAAATATCATATGGCCCAACATTTAAGTGTACACAGATATACAAATAATCAAAGTCACTAGCTATGTGTTTACAGATAAGTTTCCTAAACTCTCTGAATTTCTGTTTTCTTATCTGCAAAGTTGGAAAAATGCTAACCTCAGAGGGAGGTAGGAGTGTTGTGGGCATCAGGGAAAATAAAGAATATAAAGCAGCTGGCATGTAAGAAGTATTCAGAAATGGTAGTTACCTTATCAAGAGCCATGTGTCTTTAAAAACACATTTGCCAGCTTCAGCTGCCTTGTGCAGAGTAGGAAGGTGCATAGGAAATACCTATGTGATGTTTGGCGTAATACAAATCTGACCTTTCCAATAACACCACAGAGTCCCTGAAAGTAAGTACAAGCAACAGGTGCTTGCACCTAGTGCCCATGAGGCCAGCTTGAGAAGAACAGTTGATCATTTACCAGCTGTTCAAAGGAATGTATGGAAGAGTGGCCTAAAAGTTGTACATATTATAAATCTTCTCTGAAGTCAACGAGCGTAAGCGGAGTACGGAGGAAATGAATAACTAAGGAAACTCTCTTAGGAAATTTACCAGGAACATTCTTCCTCCAGATACCCACATACCAACTCCTTCACCTCCTTCCAGTCACCTCCTCAGGGGTCTCTTCTGACCCCATCCCCACTTTAGTTTTAGTTTTTTTCCATAACACTTTGCACCATCAATCATGATATAATTATCCTGTCTACTGCATTGGTTTTTCACTGTCTGACTCCTCTAGATTGTAAGCTCTCTGAGAGTAGGAGTCTTTGTTGTTGTTGTTTTTTTTCCCCTGACATAGCCTGGGCACTTAGGATAGTGCCTGGCACATGGTAAATGCTCAATATGTAATTGAGGAATAAATATAAGGAAACTGATGTTAAGTGACTTAGCTTAGATAATTTTGTTAGTTGGCAGAGTCAAGAGTAGAACTCAGTTTTTCTGCCTCCCAAACCAGTTGTCTTTCCACTAACTCATATTTTTAGGAATAGG